TATCCAAATGTTTGACAAATATGTTATCCAAACGTACCCAAAGATACAGTCCTACAGGTACTGCTAGAGACATTTGACTAGGAAAGGGTTGACTTGTAACTCCGCCTGGTTCAATGACCATTATTCCTGCCTTTTGCTGTCTTGCTCATAAAGATGGCATGCTAAAATCAAAACATGCTTTTTTAGGGCTGAAGATATAGCCCTACCACTGTAGGGTACTCACATAGCATGCACAAAGCCCTGAGTTTGGACACCAGAACCACACACACACACACACACACACACACACACACACACTGATCTAGAATTATTCTTCCTTAGAGGAAGGTAGTAGCTTTACAGAATTGCAAGCTATGGTGCTAGGTCCTACCACCATGTCCCAGAGTTCAGGGATCATGATGGGGAGGTTTAGAGTATTTTTTGTTTTGTTGTTGTGATATTGAGGACTGAATCCACAGCCTTTGCCCTGAGCTATAGACGCAGACCTTTTTATTTTGAGACAAGCTCTCACTAAATTGCTAAATTGCCTGGGTAGGGCTCCAACTCTACATCCTCCTGTCTCAGCCACTTAGAGTGCTGGGATTATATAGGGATGTATCACTGCACCCAGCCAAGGGAGATTTTTGTTTTATTTTGCTGCTGCTGTTATTTTTTCAGTTGAGTTGACTAATCCAGCCAGATTGATAGATCATAATATGGAAGAAGATCTGAATGAGAAGACCCTGGGACCAGGCAGTTGGGTGTAGCCATAGTGGTAACCAAATTCCATTAGCCTTCATGTGTGTTGAAGCTCATGGCGGGATATGATGCCTTAGATACACGGACTGGGGCAAACAACATGGGCTAAGCCTTTGCAAACCCAGAAGTGACTTGCAAAGGTTTCCTCAACTACCTTAGCATCTGCTCCCACAGGCTCCCCAGGAGTGGAGGGTGCCCCCAAGGAGCCATGACTTCACACAAAGGAAGATAAATATGGCACTCAGGAGCATAGAAGATTATAGCACTAGCTGGGAAAACACAGGAGAGCTCTTGACATTACTTTGTAATCCTGCCCTTGCCAGCCCACTTTTCGTGACACAAATACTCCCTTGGACACAGGGCATATGAGAGGGACCAGGGATTTGCTGGGAGATACTGTACCCCATCCAGTTCCCCTCCTACAATTTATGTGCAGAGGGAAGAAGATAACGGAGGAGACTTTAGGCCCTTCGGAAGCAAAGAAAAATGAGGGCAGTGTTCAAAATATGTCATGATCAGGTTTTTGGATTCTTCAGTCAAATATTTCTTTAGGAGAAAGGTCTTCCACACAAGTATTGACAGTAGAAAAGTTAGGAAACCGTAAGTCTGGATCTGGTCACATTAACTCCACTAAATCTAAGTTTCCTATAAAACAAAGGCTACCAAGGAAGAGGGAGCAACAGAGGCACCAAGGGGAAGATCGCTGTCACCTCTTCTAACTCCAACAAGATTTAAGACACTGGAGTGTTCAAATTGAAAATTGTACAAATCTGGAGGATGCAGAAATAATTAGGGTTGGGCACCATTATAGCTGCCTCCCATCTCTATGCTCAGAAGCCAAGAAAGGCAGGCACTGTCTTGCCCTGGATAGAAAGAACTCCAGGAAACAGCCACAGGTTGAACCATAGAATTTCCAAAGACGGCACTCTACACACTGGAAGCTGATTCCCAGAGCCTGAGTCTCAGTAGACAACTCAAGACAGTTTTCTGAAGCAGTCACCTCCCATTCCACATTCCAGGTTGGAAGTGGGACGTCAGCAAACCTGCAAACCTGGACAGCTATAGAAGGAAGTGGGCAGGGGAGGAAAACATCAGCAAGGCATAAGTCCTTGCGTAGCAGTCATGAAGTCTAGAAATTAAGGAAACTCAGCCTGCATGGCGGGAAATGGGTTTCGCTGCAGCATTTGTGGGGCCAAGATGTGCTCTTTGCTTTGACACAGTCTTCCTGGACAAAATCCAGTGTTCTCACCACATAAATACAGCAGATGAGGCCATGATCTGTAAAGATGCCAGATTCACATGCAAATACGCTGAAAATACCTTGGAGAGGTTCACAAAACCATGACAAAGGGCAAAGAAACTGCTATTGGATATCGCGATCAAATTCTTGAAAGATAGGAGAAGGGGAAAGCAACCGGTTCATAAATGTAAACCTTTTAAAGCTGGACATGTTTGCCTCGTGCAGTTCTGCCGCATTGCTTTTCTCAGGAAAGCAACTTTCTTCGACTGTTTTTTGAGAGCCTCGAAATCCCAGAGAGAAAGGCTGGGGTTTTACCGCCATCCAGTGGCCATATAGGGTATGGCAGCTTCTGACGCCTTGGCCTACAGAGAGCCCAGGGCCTACTTCTAACCTGATGATGAAAGATGACAGAAAGTTTAGTTCAAAAGAGGTGTTGCTCTGGTTACGAACCATCCACGAGCTGAAGTCACCCAAGGACCAGGCTGGGATAAACCTTCACATGCTATGCTCCCCTCTTCTGTGTGAGAGACAAAGGAAGGGCCTTGAAATCCTCTTCATTCTTGGTGTAATAATTCTCAGCCCCTGAAGTGTCCCTCCTTCAGCAAAAGAGCTTGTTTATATGCAGAAATGTGATACCTCAAAATAAGGTAACAGCCATGTGGCATGACAAGTGCCACTCAGACAAGGAGATTTCTTCTGCCCCCAGAAGGACAAGGGCTCCAACGCTGGACACCACTGTACCCCACAGGAGACAACAGTTTGCACAGCTGGAGACGGATCTTGCTCCCGGGTCTTCTCTGATGTCTGATGAAGGAAGCTAAGGATAACACTAAGGTCTGGTGGAGATTCAGACTATTCTGTGCTTTTCCTTTTCATTCAGCCCTTTCCTTGATTAATGAATGAGACAGAGACAAAGACAGAAAAGACACAACACTATGTACATACTTTGTTCTATCGCGCTGCTGCAGGCTTTTAACACCGAGGCAGGACATAGAACTCCAATCTCCCCCTGCCTTTCCCTGGTCATACGTTTCCTGGATTACCATTATGGTTTAGATCTAAAATGTCCCCTATAGACTCATATGTTCAGAGGTGTGAGTTTTAGGTGACTGGTTGATGGGGGCGCTATTGCGGACTTGATGTAGAGGTGAGCCCTAGTTGGACCTCGTTATCTCCCTCCCTGGGTCCTGCCCTCTCTTGCTCTCTCTCCCCACTTTCCAACCACCATGATGTGAGTAGTCAGACCCTTCACCATGTGAGTCCTGCCTTGGCACTAGTCAACTATGGACTTGCCCCTCCAAAACCATGAGCCAAAATAAACCTCTCTTCCTTTAAATTGTGGGTGTCAAGCACTGTGTCTCAAAGACAGAAAGTAACAGGCACTTACCTTGTCTGACTGTCAGTCGTAAGCCCCACCCCCACCTTGTTCCAGAGGACTCCTGCCTTATGCCCTGGAATGCTGCACAGAAGAATCTGAATAGAGCAGCCACACTGAGTTCCTGCCCACCCCAATCTGTCAGTCACGTTGTTATTAATCATGCATGTGCAGTGAAGTCACCATAAAACCCCAGCAAAGGGCTCAGAGAGCTTCAAGACACCTGGACATGTCGGGGTTCTAGAGGGTCCAAGTCCAGAGAGGGACTTTTGCCCTTCTCCATAAATACTCAAGGAGCTCACTTTAGTGCAAAGCCTATTAACCACATTTTTGTATCCCTCAGCTATAGTTCATCATGTCATGAATTCACCTCACCTCAGTCCCCCACTGATTTTTTTCTTCTGTGGTCCTCATTTTGTTGGATTTGTTTCTTTGTTTGGGATATTTTTGTTTTTGAGACAAGGTCTCTCTGTGTAGCCCAGGCTGGCCTCAAACTCACAGCAATCCTCCTGCCTCAGCTTCCCGAGTGCTGGGATTACAAGTGTGCACCACCCTGCTCAACTGTTGTTTTATTTTTGAGACAGTCTCACTAGGTCATCTAGGCTGGTCTCAAACTCCTTGATCCTCCTGCCTCAGCCTCCTGAGGTGCTCAGATTACCGGTGTCTGCCACCACACCCATTTGTCTGGGTTGTTTGTTCATTTTTGTATTTTCTTCTTCTTTTCATAAAAGCAGAATGTCAGGCTCTTTGAGAATAACTTCCTAATTTAGCTACAAATTTTTAAATGTCATATGGCTTCTATGCATGGGGATTTTTTTTTTTTTTCTTCACCGAAGAGAGAGCTTCTGCTTCACAGAGCGGTTTCTTGGTTTTTGGGTTTTTTGGTTTTTTGCTTGTTTCTGTTTTTGTAATTTTTTTTGCTACTCAAGAGTGAGCTGAAGATTTTTGCACTGAACTACAGTACATTCCCAGCCCTTTAAATTTTATTATTTTTATTTATTTTGTTGTTATTGTTGTAAGACAGGGTCTCATTCGGTTGCTCAGGCTGGGCTCAAACCTGTGAGTCTCTTGCCCCAGCCTGCTGAAATGCTGGGATTACAGGCACGCACCACCACACCCAGCCAAAAATAAACACTTTTGTGTTTATTTACCATGTCTTTGCCAAGAGACACTGTGGACCAGTTCTACCAAGCAAGGTCTCTGGATCTGCCCTCTCCGGTGATTAAACCTCAGCTAACACATGAGACTGGCACTGAGGTAGCCCTGTCTTTCTGGGGTTGCCAAGCCCATGCCACGCATGCCACCCACCTCTCTGCTGCAGCAGCCTCTAAAGATTCATAACCCTTCCTGCTCTCTCAGCCTTCACAGCTTCAAAACCTGCAGCTTCACCCTCTTACACGTAACAAAGGGAAGGAGGGGCACAGGAGAACTGGCCTGGGCTGCAGCTCCAACTTGAGGTCCTCAGAGGGGCCTGCGGGTTCTCCCCGGCATCAGACTCAGCCGCCTTCAGCCTGTGCCGCTGCTGTGCTACAGTAATAAATGTGGCCACCGAGGCTGAGTGTAGCTCAGTGTTAGAGCTACACTCTGTGTGACAACCTGGGTTCAGTGCCCAAAATACGATAAAGTAAAATCAGAAAGACAGAAGAATTGCTGCCAAATCTTTATTGCATATTCAGGCAAATAACTTACCACACAACAAACATTCCCAAGTGTAGACAATGCCCAGGTACAGAATTCCGCAGGTGAACATAGTGAAAAACTCTATTTACAGAAGCCAAGGAACAAGGGGATGGGAAAGTAACCTATGCCGGGAATTTACAGCAGGGACAGTGCACAGTTCTCCTCCCCAGGGGAAGCTGGGCTTGTCTGTGCCTGTGAGGTCCAGAAGAACGCCTGACAAAGCCCCCAGGTGGGTGTGATTAGGTCTGAGGCTGACAGAAGCCAAGGACACAAGAGGGGCATCCCGTGAACCAGTTCTGGGGAGCTGCATGGGCCGTACTCCAGGAGCAGCGTTAGGATGACCTTTATCCTGACCTTGGTAGAGAGGCAGAAAGGGGAGTTGGCTCCCAGGGTAGAGTTAGACTGGATGGGCTGAGACCCAGGTTGGCTGGTTTTGCTCAGATACACAGTTCTGTGCTGGGCCAAAGCATCCTCACAAAACCCACCATGGGTTAGATGAGTGGGCTCCCAAAGCTGTGTTGGCCAGTGTGCAGTCAGATGACCAAACCTTTAGTCACGCATGAGAGAGTAACAAGAGTCTGACCCTGAGCTGCCTGAGACTTCCACTCCAAACAAGTGTGGGACACAGGAAAACACGACGATGCTGCAAAGAACCAGTCTTATTGGCCACCAGCATCACCAGCACAACAGAGCAGTGGCTGGGGCTGGGAAGGCGCGAGCCCTCCTGTGATACTCTGTACAGTTCTAGAAGATTCCAGATTCAGCACACATCCCTTTCGGCTCCAGCTGGATCTGCCATCCATCAGAACAGAGCTAACTGTTCTCTTTCCTTCCTTCGTAGTTATTGTAAGGGCTACGCTTAGTGTGGGCCCGTGGAATGGAGAAATCATTTTTAGGTGTCCGATCCTGAAAAAGACGCACCATATCATGAAGCCTACACAATTCCAATGTTTGTTCCCACTCACCCCTCCCTCCAGACAGAGTCCTGCTACACACCCCAGGCTAACCTTGAACTCAGGCAATCCTCCTGCCTCAGCCTCCTGAATGCTAAGATTACAGGTGTGCACCACCATGCCCAATCTGTCCTCAGCCATTAAAACAACTTTCCAATATGGGCAAGGGCCTAATTCCCTTTCCTTTCTCCCGATCTCTCCCCATTCTACCCCCAGCAATCCACCCTCCCCCCAGACTGCCAGGAAGTAGACAGATCATCTCTCAAGGTGCCCCTTGGAATGGTGACAACTTCTGTTGCCAAAGAATAAGTGTCCCTGGGCTGTGAATGTTGCTTATAAGGAAAAACAAAGATCAGTCACCTGTAGCTGGAAATGGGTGGAGTAAGGAGCATGCTGCGTTCCGGTCTCTGCAAAACCTGAAACACAAGGGAAGGAGAAATTAAAGCATGAGGTCACGCAACTTGCCGCTCCTTTGCAGCCCTTGCAGTGTGTCTGTGACAGCTTGCCCCTTTGTCTCTCTAGTAGACTTTAGGAGAGGTCTAGAAACCAGGCACCAGCTATGTATATATAGGTTTTTTGGCAAAGCACAATATTGATTGAATGGATGATTAGCAGCATGCGATCACTAGGAAAACTCCTTTCCAAACTGTGGATAGCAGCCCCACCTCATTCTAGGACCACTGTAAAAGCATATTTGAAAAATTATTTAAAAATATTTTCCCATAGAGCTCTGGTCAGCAGTAGAACCTAGAGCAAATCTCACTGGGGATCTCTGCATCTCCTTAACTGCCTGACGAGGAAAGCAAGGGACAAATTTATGAGCAATTGGTTTCATTGTATTTTGGAGGAAATCAAGGGGTTTTAAACTTGGAAACAAAAGTCAACACATGCCATCATCATTAAGGCAATTTTAATCAGTTCATTTATTTCCTACCCAATTTCTTGCCCACTGTGCTCAAAAATACTTCGATATGTGAGATACTGTGAAGCATACACGGGTTAACTACAATCATCCCTGCCCCGTGGCTCACCCTGCAGACTTACGAATGTATGATGAACACAAATATCTAGTGAATGAGACATACACTGATAAGAGCATTTCAAAATTCCGCAGATAATACAAGCAGAGCAGACCTGTGGGAGACTGGGAATGCTCAGGTCTGGAGACGAGGGAAGAAGGCCAAGCCAGGGGACACAGTCACATCTTTGTGCCAACACAGAGGCATGAGGCTCCAATGGCATGGAAGCCTCACTGCAGGTCTCACATGATGCAATGGATTGTGGGGATCCCCTGAGGAATGTGTGCACTATGGTGGCTGTTCTGGGGAGAATAAACTAATAGTGGCTCCAAAAATGAAAGTCAAGGAGGAGTTGGTAGGGGTCAATCAAAAGGAGACCAAGAGTGAGGGGACAGAGCAAAGCCCTAGGAATCCACAGGAGGGGTGGAGTGTCCTCTCTGCCTCCAGGTTTCACCTGCCTGGGAGAGAGATCACGGCCACAGGGAGAAGCCCCAGGTTCTACGGGAAGGTGAAAAGACTTTCATTTAGCTGGGGCTGAGAACCAGGCCTTGAAGGTCCCTGATTCCTGTCCAGGAATGATCCCCTCCTCACTGGAATTACATTTTCCAAGATCAAAGTGCTCCCAGTAAGCTAGTGAACTGATCCCTACATGCAAAGGCAGTTTCTGGCTCATGTAGCTTCTTCTCTTAGGACAACATCAGCACAAGCATCTGGCCTTTATAACAACTGCAGGTAGGAGCAAAATCTATCTGATTCATTAATGTCACAGAAAATCTCTTCCCTCCCTCTGTCCCATGGGCCCCGAGACACATAATCAAATGTGGCTGTTGCTGCAAAATTAGAGCCCTCGGTAACATTATGAAGATTCCTGCTGGTTTATGACAAAAAGACTTTTTCCTCTCTGAACTCTGTGATCATGGCTTGGCTCTCTGCACTCAGCTTCACCAAGGCTCCATATTGCTGGAAGGAATATCTACTTATCTTTTTAATAAAGTCACCATCTTTGCCAAAGCTGCTCACTCGGATTTTTCCCTTTCTTTTGCCTTATCTCATGTTGATGAAGAGACACTGATCAGATGTTGTGTAGAAAGTACTGAAATGAAAGCCTTAAAGGACAACTTCTGATTCTACTTTTCTCTAACTAACTGGATGATTTTAAATGAGGTAGGACGCTCAGTGAACCTCTCTGTTCTCTTTAACCTAGGAAAATGCTGCATGCTCCTTACAGTCACAGTATCCCGCCCCATCTCTCCACCAAGAGTCTCTCGTTCCTACCTGGAGTGACTTCCTCTTGAGAGTATGCTCTGTTCTCCATACCACGGCTCTGCTTCATGACTTGGGGTGTACAAAAAGCATCTTCCAGCGGGTAATCCACGGGTTTGCGTTGCTTCGGGATGACTATAAACTCAGGTATGACATAAAACAGCAGGAAAATCCAGCCGTTGATAACCAAGGCTGTGCTGAGGATGGTGTCATCCCACATGGAGTCCAGGGTAGAAACCAGGAGCAGGGCGATCCACGCCACCCAGACGGCGATGGAGAAGAACATGGTGAAGAAGATGTGTAACCCGTGTCTCTTCCAGCCAGCAAAGGAGCCACAGAAGATGAAGGAGGATGTGCAGAAGGTCAGCAGCATCAAGAAGAGGACATAGATGAGCAGCATGACGAAGTCTTCATTGCGACGAGGAGCGGAAAGCTCAGAAAAGATATGGACGTTGGTCCTGTTCATGGTTAGGACGGTATATTCGATCGCAATGACATCCTGCACCAAGCTGAGGCTCAGAGCCAAGCCCAGAGTCACCAGCCAGGACAGGGACTCCCTCCCGCGGACGAGCTTGTTCAAGTTGAAAGCGTGGAGCAGGAGGCAAGAGAAACAGATGGCAAAGACGACCCCGAAGAGGAAGAAGCGTGTGGGCCCCGTGCCCCCGTCCAGTTTGATGATGAAGGCAAAGGTGAGGCCAAAGACCCCCAACACGCCGAGGAGGAAGAGAAACTGGGTCGGCAGCATTCTGCGCCTGTTGGAGTCCTGCACCTTGCTGATGAGGACCAGGAGAGTGAACATGAAGGCCACCGACGTCACGGCCCCCAACCCGGCGAATGTTTCTAGGACGATGCCCCAGCTTTCTTCCATGTCACAAAGTCTGTGGTACCTGGGGTCCAGGTCTGAGCGGCAACCGCTGGGGGACTGAGTGGTCATTTTGGCCCTGTGTAAAACAAAGTCAAAAGAAAGGGTGAGTCTCTTAAAGACGGACAGACAGAGGACTAAGAAAGGATGGAGGGAGCATCCTCCATTTAGCCAGTGTCACCCTTAGCTGCTACTTTTTTGCAGCAAGTGGGGAATAGCTGGGGATTTAACCTAGGGCCTTTGCAATAAGCTACATCCTAGCTAGGTATTTATCTCAATGGCATAAGCGCCTGGTTAGCAAGCATGAGGTTGGAAGTTCGATCCCTGGTACCAAAAAAAAAAAAAAGAAGCTACATCCCCACCTTGTTCATTTTTTATTCCCAGAGCCCTGGGATCATAGGTGTGTACCATCACACCTGGCAAATTCACCACATCAAACTATTGATTTTTCTCCCTTACTTCTTGTGGTCAGTTCTGAAGACAAGGGAAGGGAAGAAACACATCTGATACTCTTCTTTTCACCCAGTTTAACTGTGTGACACTTCACCTTGAAGCCAGAGGACCCAGGATGCTATGAAGGTAGTTCAGAGCCTCATTTAAAAAAAAAAAATCACAAAGACTCTGCCAAGGTCACTGATATTTTGAGCTTAGTGTTTTCTTAGTAATTCGCAAACATGGAAATAGCTAAACTTGAAGTTAACACAATTGTTTTTACTGATATGAGTCAGATTGTGACTTCCAATCACCTTACACAGATAGTAATTAATCTAATTTCATAGAAACGCTGTAAGGTAAAAGCTACCCTTTTGTTGTTTTATTCGATGTTCTGTTTTGATTGGTTTCATTGTTTTGTTTGATTTTATTATGACTGATGGACTGGGCAGCAATTTTGAAGATAACAAGAGGCATTATGGTAGCCATTGATGATTTCCTATTGTCGTGTTTTGAAATCTTGTATCACTTTACTGTTTTATTTAGAATGGTTTTGGGGCTGGGGATTTAGCTCAGCGGCATAAGCGCCTGCCTTGCAAGCAGGCAGTCGTGAGTTCGATCCCCGGTACCGATAAAAACAAAAAAGGCAAAAAAAAAAAAATTTTTAGAATGGTTTTATTCTGTTTTATTTTGTTTGGTTTTTTTTTTTTTTTTTAGATATCGGGGATTTAACTCATGACCTCATGCTTGCCAGGCAGGCGCTTATGCTACTGAGCTAAATCCCTGGCTCATGGTTTTATTCTCTTTAAAATATACTTTCATTCTTTTGCTTTACTTGGTTTTATTCTGTCCAGTTTTGTTTGATTTTATTATGTCTGAAGATATGGACAGCTACTTGGAAGAAAAGAGGTATGATGGGAGCGATTATTGATTCCCTATTATCTTGTTTTGAAGTCCTATTTGTTTTCATTGTTCTGTTCTGATTAGCTTTATTCTGCTTTGTTTTTTATTTTATTCTTTTTAAAATAGAAACTAAAAAATAAATTACCCCTATTGGTTGCTACGCACACACCTACACACCCAGCACTCAGGAGCTGAGGCAGAAGGATCATTAAGAGTTCAAAGCCAGTCTGAGCTACAAAGTAAGTTTAAGGCCAGCCTGAACTGCACAATGAGACCCTGTCTCAAAAAGTAAAAAAAAAATTACCCTTATTTTACAGATAAAGAAACAAGAAAGAAGCCCAGTTACAAGATACACATATATATGCCTTTTTTTTTTAGAAGTTCTAGGATCAACCCTGTGCATGTAGGCAAGTGTTCTACCACTGAGCTACAACCTCAGACTCCTGAACCCCAGCCTGTTGGCTCCATGATCCATGCTCTGAGCTAAGGATACTCTCAGATAAGTTCTACCTAAGTGACCTTAAAATGCAACCTGTTCCTCCCCAGCTTCCCCTCCCTTCCTTCTCAGATGCCCATTATGGTCCTGATTCCTCTTGTAGTCCAGTCCCAAGAATGCTAGGAGCTCCAACTTAATAGGTGATCCACAATCAGGTAACAAATTCACCCACTTGGGATCATCAGGAATTTCCTGGATATCCCACAACTGACTTCCTACACATCTGTCCTTAATTTCTCAGGGAAAACCATCCTTTCTCAGCCCTACACCCTCCTGATGAATTTTCAACCCAACTGTTCACCTAACTCCCATCATCTAAATCCTAGCAATTCAGGGAACAATGAGAAGATAAATCAGGAACCTGAAAAGAAGGGAGTTTCCACACTTCCTCAAAACTGATGGCTCTCAGATTTCAAGGTAAATTAAGGAAGCTATTGGAATTCAACATTGCTAGATACTACTATAGTCCTAGCAGTTTCTGAATAAACCATGTATTTTATCTGTATTATTTTCCTGTGTATAAGCTTCTAACACATTATTCTTTTTTATTTACTATGCATTACTTGTGCATGGAATCTTTTTCATTAGTTTTTTGTTTTGTGGTGGGATGGCTCACTAGTCAAAGGTGGCTAAAGCCAGTATATTAGTTACTTTTCTCTTGTTGCTGAGACAAAATACCTGACACCCAAAATTAAAGGAGGAAAGGTTTATTCAGCTCACAGTTTGTAGAGGTTTCAGTTCATACTTGGCTGAGCTCCAAGGCAGGGTGGCACATGGTAGAGGGGCAATATTTCATGGCATCAAAAGACAGAAAAACCAACAGGGATGAGGAGGACACACCTCTTTGTGTTCCTTACATTGTATCCAGTCTACCAGGATAGGGTGGTGCCAACCCAGTCAGTGGACTGATCCAGCAATCACCTACCCTCAATCCCAGCAATGTACCAAGACTCAATCACATGCTCTCGACTGAGCCACCTCTGCAAAAAGCTCCATCAAAGACTGCATGAGGCTCTAGGAGACATCTAAAGATAAACCATAACAGCCAGGAAGAAAAGCTCATGGAGGCCACCTCCATGGAGATGCAGAATAAACACCTCAACCTCCTCTATAGTCACATAGGGACAGGCAGTGTGCAACGAGAAATCAGAAACAAGCCTGGTGAGGTGGCGCACACTATAATCCCAGCACTCGGGAGGCTGAGGCAAGAGGATCTCAAGTTCAAGGCCAGCTTACTATATAATGAGACCCTGTCTCAAAACACCAAAAATAAAAAGAAAATAGGACGAAAGAAGGATGGAGTGAGCTCCTGGGAGCACAATGCTTAAAGCTGTGAGAATAAAGGTGAGGGTGCACTGGAGACGCCAGGAAGGTAGAGATGCCAGGAATGCAGACTGTACACTGAGGAAAGCCAGCAGCAGTGGAAGGAGCCAGCCCAACACAGAGGCTGTGTGCACCGCAATAGGCAAGAACGTAGGCATGGGCCACCCAAGACTTCTGAGATCACACATCACTACCCTGTGCCCTGGATGCTGGATGTGGAACTACAAGATGTAACATTTTCCGTGCTGGGTTTTGGTCTTGTTTTGGCCTAATTGTTTTCTATCCCCCTATTTTGCCCTTTTGGAATGCAAATGTTTATTCTATACCATTGTAGCCAGGAGTTCTGTAACTTGTTTTCAATTTCTATAAAGGTTCACAACTAAGAGTTTGCCTTGAGTCTCAAAAGAAACTTTGACTTTGACTTTTAAGAAATGCTGGAACTACTGGGGTTTTGGGCATGGGATTATTGCATTTTGGTTTATATTCATGACGGCTGTATCATGTCAGGTGGAATTATGAACTTGCAATTGTCTTTATTTGGATTTTTTTCCTTCATCTGGATATTAAATATGATTTAAAGAGCTGTATTTGAATGTCAAGCTGACAACAAGTGGGATGTGACTGTTATGGCTGTCAACTTGATTGGCTTGGGAGCTACTTAGGGAATTAGCAGGGCACGCTTCTGGCTGACTGCATGAGTTGTGAGGTGTACCTTGGGGCCGTATCTGGTCCTTGGCCCCTTTCCCCTCGGGCACTGTTTCTCTGCTCTGCTTCCATCTTTTACCCTATTGCTGACTTGGAGCCAGCTGACAACACTGGATTCTCTGAAACCGTAAGCCAAATAAATCTTTCCCTTTCACAAGTTGTGTGTGTTGGGTAACTGTGCCAGCAATGAGAAATTCACTAGTGTACTGTACTGGGCAACTTAATGAGGAATTGTCTCACATACACATAGAAAAAGCTAAGGACTAGGGGTGGAGCTCAGTAATTCAATCCTTAGTATCACCAAAAAAAAAGAAAAGAAAGAAAAATCATCTTTTCAATTAGATGAGATAGTCATATCAGCATTAGTTTACTCAAAAAGCAATTAGAAAAATCAGGTAGATATGACAGATAGATAGATAGATAGATAGATAGATAGATAGATAGATAGATAGATGAATGCCATGCAAATGCATAGTAAAACTGGGCATGGGGGCACATGCCTGTAATCTCAGCATTCAGGAGGCTGAGGCAGGAGGACTGATGTGAGTTTAAGGCCAGTCTGAGATATATAGTAAGTTCCCATCTAGCCTGAAACACAGTCAGACCCCATCTCAAAAAACGCATTTACTATGTATATGTTAGATTATTATGTATGGTGTTTTAGAATAAAATAATACCAGATAATGTTTAAATCTGTCTTTCAAACTTTTTAATGAAATTTGGGTCTCTAAACTTAATTCTTCTTATAGTCATTCATTCAACAAATATTCACTGCTGAGGTGTAATCGGGTTTATTCCTCACCACCACACCCAGCTGTTCTGAAACTTGATCCCTAAGGGCAGCTGCCATAGGGAACAGGAAGAGGATCAAGAAACCAAACCACACCTTCCTGTGAGCCAGCCGGTATGCAAGCTGGGAAACAAAAAAAGCAGCACCCCCCCACACACACTACCCCCAATAAACAGTGATAATTCAGAGGAAGTCAGGCTGAGATGCTGGTGACTCAAGTAAAATCATAATAATCATTTAGTGTTTGTATTGTTTGATTGACTTTGCAGGTCTAAAGCCGATAGTCTGAGCATCTATTTGGAGGATAACAATATGTATTATAGCAACTGTGGGCGATTTCTTTCTGTCTTGTTTTTGAAATCCAGTGTTCTGTTCCATTTTACTGTTTTGTTTTATTCCTGTATCCGGTAACCTGAGCAACTATTTTGAA